ACAAAATACAAAGACCTGCAAATAGAAGTAGAACGACTGTGGCAAAAGAAAGCAAAGATAGCCCCAATAGTAACAGGCATCTTGGGTGCAATCCCAAAACATCTGGAGCACCCCTTGAAGACCATTGGTACTGACAAAATCACCATCAGTCCATTGCAAAAGGCAGCTTTACTTGGAACAGCTTATATCCTGCAATGATATCTTTAACGCCATCAAACAACAACATCTGCCTCTCCCAGGTCCTTGGGAAGGACTCGATAGGTGGACAAAAATGCCAAACCCAGTATAAATATCTAGTTGACTATACAACCAATCATATAATAATAATAATTTTTCACTATTGTCAATTTCCTGAATTTTAGTACTCAAGTATTTGTACTACAATTCGTATCCTTCAATGAACCTGTTTTCAGCCACTGATCTCTTTTTGTGAGTCAGGTGATTGGCGGTAACCAAAAGGAGCTGTGGTAGGCCACCTGATGGACCCTCCATGGATCACTGATGATCCACAGACTACAGACTAAGGCTCCTTGACAAAGAAACTGAAAATAAAAGTGAATTTTGGAGAGAGGAGACATAGGCAGATGCACTTGCCCTGCTTGAAAATGCTTCTTTTGGAGATGACCCTCCAAGTCAATCATTGGAGAAAATGCACCAAAGGATGTTTTTCTGTGTAAAAAATCCAATTTCTCTTACCTGGTTTTGATTATGAGGTGCTGACCCCTTGCCTCTGTAGCTGGACACACTGCCCTCTATTTGTTCATTACAGTCAACTGTCCACTAAAAAGAAAGAAACAGGATGATTCTGACTGAAACCAGAAAGAAGTATGGTAGTTGTGACAGCAATGCATCAGGATGGGAATTACAGAGTTATTTTTTTCTGGGAGGTCTGAAAGAAAGCGCACCTTCTTTCTTTGCAAGAAAACCATCACAGAATACACCTGTGTCAACAGGTGGCTGCATCTGGCCAACCTTGTTGGGACTTGAAAGCTAAGCAGGGTCTGCCCTAGTTAGTTCTTGGATGGGACATCCCAAGAAATTGCAAAGCACCTCCAGGTTGTCACCAGTTAGCAGGTGGCATTATTTAACCAATTGTGGTTGACCTCAAGAAGCTAAGTAGAGTTGGATCTCATTAGTATTTGAATGGGAGACCAGGGCTTTAGACTAGGCTAAAGTCAGATAAAAAAATATCCTGTCTCTATTTCGTATAACTCAAGGTGGCATACAAAATGCTCCCACTTCTATTTTCCCCACAACAACAATCTCTGTGAGGTGGGATGGGTTGAGAGAGCCCAAAGACACCCAGCCAGCTTTCATACCTAAGGGAGACTACAACTCATGGTCTCCCAGTTTCTAGTCCAGCACTTTCGCCACTAGACCACATTGGCTGTGAAGCCAGCTGTAGGAAGCCAACAATCATGTGTGGCCTTCCCAAAACAGAAAGTAATCAGGGGTTAAAATTAAGCTCCTCATTTTGCCCCTTAGAGGTCCTTGAGCCAGGTCTGATTCTTGGTGACTGATCTGACAAATATGCCACTCTTGACTCCAAAAATCTTCCTAGAGAGCTGGAAGATTTGTCCCAACCCACTCTGATGACCGATGCCATCACTGACCATTCCTCTGCAGCCTTTGGAGGCCAAAACATTTGTTTCTTTGTTAAAAAAAGGTGTCCATGCCTGCTTTAAAACATACAGCTTGGAATTATCTGAAAAATACCCAACTCTTATTCAGTTCTGGAATGTTATTGTTATTCTTTTCACTATGCCATTTTTTTGGTCTTTTTAACCCAATGGGAAAAACCCACTCCAGGTTCAATACCAACCTGGGAGATATTGGACTGCGTTTTCTCATTCTCTTCATCCCCTTCGTTTTTTTCGGTCAACAAGCCTTGGACTTGATATTCCAAAACGTAGCTGTCAATGAACCTTTCCAACTCCTCGATTTCCTGCGAACGATTGCTTCCTGCCTCAGAGGAGGCAGAAGCCACGGAGGAATTTTCCATCCCCCTCTGTAATGAGCCAAGAATGGGTGCCCTACAGTGGGGAGAGAAAAAAGATTTAAAAAATGAACTATAAGCCAGCATCTGAGATATTATACACTGCATGTCTTCCCCCTAGCAAAAACCTCAGAGCTGAGGGCCATAGCCCACACACAACTTACACTCTCTGATTGTGCATCGAGCTTCTTTCCATCCTTCGTAACAGGCCTAGCAACGAACGTGACTATGTCCAAACCAGGGGCAGCATAATCTTAATGAATGCATCAACACTGTCTGATGCAATTCTTATTCCCATTTCAACAGTCAAAATAGGTTTCTAAGCTTTCATGGTTTCTACCAAGTCACGTGCAAGACTGAGAAACTTCTACTGTTATAAACTGCTCAGTGAGGACCAGCAAGGTCACAGGAAGCAGAGAGAGGAGTTGACATGCACTTGACCAATAATAGCTCCATGGTGCTCTCCACACGTGGTTGTTTCTTGCAAATGTTACATTATCAAGCTAGGTAGCATCTTCACTGCAGGGGGGAGTGGAATCTGCTGGTTGTTTATATACAGTAGCTTGCCCAGCCAGTATTGGTTGGGGTGTGGTCTCTTCCTTGATAATTCATTGATTAGGGTATTTGAATTAAGAACCTAAAGCCCAAGTACAGCACCAATTAATCAAGAAGGAAGCAATATCCTTATCAAGGGAGAAGCTACTATATACATAGTTATACAATATATAGTATAATTCCAGTCTCCTATACACTGATGACGTTACCTAGCCTGGTAATGAAATGTCTTCAGGAAAACAGCCAAGCTCACAGAATACCAAGAACCCAACAGTTCAACCCTGAGCTACATAGACTGTCTATTCTGGCAATTATGGTTTGTTCAATAAGCCAAGTTGAAACAAAATTAAGGAGCACATTTTGTTCCTTAATGTGTGAGTTAGTGCCAGTTATGAAAATCAACTGTTCTGGATTTTAAGAACTGTTAAATATATGTGTTATCATCTCAAAAGAAGGGGGGAGGGTCTTCTGAACTTCTCGACAGATGTTTTAGAAGGGCTGTCAACCTTTTTACATTGGAGATGCAATAAATGTGAAGGTACATCAATGTACATATCAAGCTTTACCCCACTGCAGGGATAAAACACTCAGACAAGCTTATAAGAAATCCAGATAAATTCAGATAAGTAATATTTATTGAGAAATTATCATACACACTCATTCTTCTCTCTCTCTCTCTCTCTTGGATGAGTGGTCTGGCTTGTCTCCATTTTTATAATGGTCAGACTTGCTACGGTATTGTTTTTCCACTGACGATGTGAGAACTAATTCTACAACACGTGTCAATCATTTCTCTCGTAGTTTTGTATTATGATAAATGTGGTTCTTGGAAGCAAGTCAAGATTTAAAGGTGTCAATGTGCTGCAAAAGCATATTCTAAAAATCTGGAATTTGTCTATTTATGAAGAACTCTGGGTTTATTGTGCTTGGAATGCGGCCAAAAAGACCATCATGAGTTCCTGGAAATATATTTGTATTCCAATTATCAAAGATTGGGTTGACGAAATGTGTTTACTCTCATCTCAGCCTTAGAGCTGGCTCTTCATTACTATAAAGGAAAAACTAGTCTATAATTCTGCGTGGTCAAGGTTCAATTTGTGATTTAAAAACTGAACGGTAAAAAATCCTGTCTAGGGGTCATTATTGTTGTAGTTGAGTTGTTCTATTGGTTTAGAGATTTTTTTTTTCTTTTTGCTCGTTTGCTTGCTTTATTTTTTAAAATACCTTGTTTTATTTGCATTCATGTATTTTGCATTTTGCTTTTTTTAGTTTTGTTAAACTGATTTAAACAATCATTTAAAAAAGGCTTAGCGTGATGAGCAAACTAACAAGCCCTGTGCAAAGCAACTGAGATTCATTTCAACTCACCAAGCTGACTTTGCTTTATTTTTTAAAATACCTTGTTTTATTTGGATTCATGTATTTTCCATTTTGCTTTTTTTACTTTTATTAAACTGATTTAAACAATCATTTAAAAAGGGCTTAGTGTGATGAGCAAACTAACAAGCCCTGTGCAAAGCAACTGAGATTCGTTTCAACTCACCGAGCTGACTTGCTTTGCTACACTGAAGCAAAGATGCCAACCCACTGGTCTTGACACAACCATTCAAGAGACTTCAAGCAGATTCAGACCAGTGCCTCCTCCCCTGCATTGGCTGAAGTGCCTGCAGACTGGCACTGAATCTTTCTTGGCAAGCAGCCCTAGAGGAGGTGGGTGAGGGTGTTCCCTTACACACCACTTACTTCCTGGCCAGAAAAGGTGAGAGAGGAACATGTGCTGCTCACCTCCCGGAAAAGTTTCGCAAATGAATCCGCTTTCAAGAACTGTCTGGGAGAAAGCCAAGAAGCCCTGTGAAACCCTCATTGGGTGCTTCATTCAAAGCTCTACCAAAATGAGACATTACATCAAAGCTTCATACAGACCTATCAGCTGATCCAACAGCTTCCTTTCTCAATCCAATTAACACCTATCATAGGGGTAGAAGGGACCTTGAAGGTCTTCTAGTCCAACCCCTTCCCAGGGAAGGAATCCCCATACCATCTCAGACAAAGGGCTGTCCAGTCTTTTCTTGAAAACTTCCAGTGGTGGAGCCCCCACGACTCCAGGAAGCAGAACCTCTGCTTCTCAGCCCAACCAGCCTCATGTGGTGGTGGCTATAAGGAAAAATTGGACAAGGGAAAGTTACAAATGCTGCCTAGAACTCCTAGAGGACATACATCTAATTCATCATCGTCGTCATCATCCTTATGGTCACCATCAGTAGCTACCCAATGCTAAAATGGGCCATTTTTCCATTTCTCATTCAGAACTCACAAGTTCTACCACACAACATATCAACGTTGCATGGCTCAGACTCGGACTGGAGAGAAAGGCCAGAAATTGCAGGAGCAACCAGAAAAGGGACATGCAACATAACCAAGAGCGTAGAGCAATGTTAAATCCTTCCTTTCTCTATTTTCATCATCTTGCACAGGGAGGTGCCAAAAATTCAGTTCCTGGGGGAAAATGAAGATTTTGCGCATTTTTAATTGGAGAGAGACCTCCAAGAGAACGTCTTCACTCCCAGATCTCCGGCAGGAACTATTGGCAATTTCCATGAGCACTTACACTGAGGATCCACAGGGAAGAAAAAACAATGGCCAAACAAGAATCCTCGTTGGCAAAGTCTACAAACAAAAGGCAGGGGAAGGGGGGGACAAAAGGCTCAATACTGATGAAGCCTGCTTTTCAAATGGGGTGGGGGGAGAGGGAAAGCAGAGAGAATCTCCAACTCCATTTTGTAAAGTTCCAGGCTGATCCCCAAGAAATAAAAAGCGAAAGCTTTTGCTACAAATGTGACCTGAAAGCAGAACCTATTGTTCCATCCGCTGCAGCAGACAATGCAGAGAAGCCATCCAGGGACCGTCACTCACTGGAGCTGCTTTTCAAGAAGTGACAGATGGACAATGCTGAGCCAGGCATGACATGTGGGAGCAGGAAAAACCTTGGCACGAGGGTGATGGAATGGTAAATCATTAACTGGTTGTAGTGGATAAGGACCACAAAGGAGAAGCGAGTACCTCCCACACATCAGATTCACAGGGCTGCTTTTCTTAATAAGCCTGCTGAAAATGTAGGAATTGGCAATTCCTGTAACAACTGCAGGCTGAATGTCAAGATGGCCACCATTTTTCAAATGTTAATAAATACTTACGTTCCAAGACCAATAAAAAAAACTGCTGT